CGGACAAGAAGGACGCCCCAGTGTGGGCGAAGGAGTTCAAGCTCTTGTGGACGGACAAGACCAGCAAGATGAAGATGGCCGAAGTTGGGGAAGTGGTACTACATTGGCAGTGGAAGAGGAACAGGGGCAAGCAGTCCGAGGGCGAGAACAACATGGGGAGGATCATTTTCGCGATCGACACCTCCCGCCCCTTCGGCCTGGCCCTGGCAGAGTACGTCGAGAAGATGCTCGCGGGGCTCGGCGCGGAGAGGGAGATCGGACCAGCCCCCCGCGGGCCGCTCGAGAGGGATGCAAGCAAGTTGTTGGCAGAACTGAAGGAGTCGTCGTGAGAAGTAGGAGTGAGCAGCGGAGAACCGAGCAGAGTGTGAGTTTAGATAGGCCTTCTCAGCCTAGTAGCAGTGGCAACTCAGGGCGGCCTAGTCAGGCCGAGTTTTTTGAAACTCCTGGCAGCGTCGGGGCCATCCAAGGGGAAGCTCCTGGCCGTCCGAGGGTCGCCCGACCGAACTTTTTGAGCAGCTTGCAGCAACTGAGGGTAGTGTTAGGCTAGTCGAACTAATTGCAAGAGGCAGTGTCAGTGCAGATATTTTGGACCCGAGCCCCACCCCTGCCCAATCAGCCTATAACCCCGAGATAGCGACCACCCCCACCATCCAGAGGGAAGGAGGCACGCGAAGAGGGAGAGGCAGGAAGGGGAAGGGCAAAGGAAAGGGCAAGGGTCGGTAGCAGTTCTCATTGGTCCCCACCAGTGGGCCCCTCGTTAGGCTGCGTGCCGAATTCGGGGGTGCCCACAGGGGCGGTGCGGCGTCCGTCGGGAGCCACGGGCCGCGCTGGATGGTTTGGCGGCATTAAGTTTCGCCCCCCAGAGTTCACCCTGCCCCACCCCGCTAGGCAGTCAGCTTGGCAGGCGATAAGCAGCAGCAGACGAACTCCCACGGGCCTGATCCTGATCCTCCTCCTCCTCCTCCTCCTCCTCCTCCCCCCCCCTCCTCCCTCCCCCTCCTCCTCTCTCCTCCTCCTCCTCCCCTCCTCCTCCCCCTCCCCCTCCTCCTCCGCCTCCCCCTCCCCCTCCTCCTCCTCCTCCTCCTCCGCCTCCTCATCCTCCTCCTCCTCCTCCTCCTCCTCCTCCTCCTCCTCCTCCTCCTCCTCCTCCTCCTCCTCCTCCTCCTCCTCCTCCTCGGGAGGAGCCGGAGGTACATTTAAGTCTCGGGGCCCCCCAAGCGGGGTGGTGGCCACACCGCGTGGTAGGTCGGTGGGGATTCGGGCTCACCGCACGGCTTTGGGACTCGGGTCGTGCTCCGAGGACGTCTGGGCGACGGGGGCCACCGGGGTCCCAAGACCGTGCGGTGACGGACCGTGCGGTGAGGTCCTGCGGGATTTCGAGGTCACCGCGCGGTCTGTCACCGCACCGTTTCGGGACTCCAAAGCCTCCTGCACCCAGAGATCCACCACGTCGACAAAAACCCAGACGGAGGTTTCTTGCCATGTTCGGCCTCCAGGGGCCCTCGCCGGGCCCCGGGGCCGTCAAAAAACGGCTCACGAGGAAAGGCCGGTCCTGGGGAATCGGTCGAGACTTCCGGGGGCCGCGCCCTGCCTCCCTCCTCCGGCCCCTCCCCTATCGTGCAGGGTCGGCCCGGCCTGGCCCGAGGCCGTGCCCTGTTCGGCCTCCCCTCTCGCGCCGAGGCTGAGCTTCTGGCACAGCCGGTCCTGGAGAGGAGGATGCGCACGGGGCTCGCTGACGCGTTTGACGTGGAGGAGGAGGAGGAGGAGGAGGAGGAGGAGGAGGAGGAGGAGGAGGAGGAGGAGGAGGAGGAGGAGGAGGAGGAGGAGGAGGAGAGGAGGAGGAGGAGGAGGAGGAGGAGAGGAGGAGGAGGAGGAGGAGGAAGGAGCAGGAGGAGGAGGGGGAGGGGAGAGTGAGGAAGGAGGAGGTGGAGGGAGGAGGAGGAGGTTGAGGTTGAGGTTGAGTTTCTGTTGCATGTGGATTTGCTGACCCTCTGGGTCGGCGCGGTGCTCCCTCCTCCTCCGTGAGTGGGTGTCGGCGCGTGTCTGAGCGAGCGTTGGCAAGTCTTATGCTGCATCGCTTTGGTGATGTGCAGACCACTCGCTCCCAATGGCGCTGGATGCTGAGTCATGGATCCCGCCTCCTCTCTCCTCAGTCTCTCTGCTCCTGCTGGCTGGTCCGAGCTGACTCCAAAACGGCCCAAGTGTCACCCAACACGCCCCAAGAGGCACTTCCGAGAGGACCCCTGGAGGCCATCGCTCATTGATAGTCTCGAGCGTCCGCACCTCCTCTGACGTCCGACTGCCCAAGACCCCAGACGGCTCCAGAGGCCCCCTCCCCCTCCTCGCTCTCCGCCTCCATTCCTTTTCCGTATGAGCAGTTCCTCCCTGTCGCACCCCGAGGCCAGTTGGAAGGGCGGGCCGGGCGTTTCGCTATGGAGTTCTTTACCAATTATGAGTTTGCGCGGATACGCGGCCGCACGGATACGTTCCGCGCGGGGCATTCGCGAAGAAGCGCCCCGTATCCGCTGGGGTTTCTGCCCAGGGCCCAGCCCCCGCGAGGCCGCGGATGCTCGACGACACGTGAGAGTGACCTTCCGCCAGAGTGACCTTTGGTGCGGGCCCAGTGGGGCCTCTCAATCTCCAGGCCTCCTAGACGGGGCCCGAGTAGACGGGGTCGGAGGATCGCGCCGCATCGCCGATGCATCGCCGATGCGGCTCGATGCAGGGCCCGATGAGCTTCACGTCGACGTCGGCGATACATCGCCGACGTCGACGATGTATCGCTGGTGCATCGCCGACGCATCGCCGATGCATCGCCGATGTATCGGCGATGGGCGCGATCCTCCGACCCCATCTACTCCGACCCCATCAAGGAGGCCTCTACAATGGGGCCCACCAGTCGGAGAGTGCGGTGCGGTAGCAGCGTCTTGCGCGCCTCGTGGCGTCACCGAAGGGCCCCCCCCCCCTTGGCAGCGCAGTGAAGGTCACTCTTGCCCATGGTCACTATGGCGTGCAGCCGAGACACGGAGATTTGCTTCGCCCACGAGATCCAGCGCTCGGGTTGCCGAGAGTGGGGACACTTTTTCCAGGCCCCCTTTCCTCCAGGTCCCGCTCCTTCCATGCTGCGGCTGGACCGGAGTAATTCGGAGATCGAGGTCGGTTCGGGGAGGGGACCCTATTGTTCTTGGAAGTTGCTTGCACATGACACGGACGACTTAGACGAGAGTTGGATGCACTTGTGGCCCAGAGGTTTGTTCTGTTCTTGGCCCTCGTGTGGCCAGGGACTCTGGCAGTTCCTCTGGAAGTTCCACATGACATGTAGATCTGGGCAGGCGTGCTCGAAGAAGAGACAACTATATAAACATATCTTTCTGGAGGTTCGCGTGGAATCCCTGGATCTGCGCTGGACCGTCCGGCGGGAGCTCAAGCGCCGATCCAAGAAATCCGCGCGGACTTGCGACATATCAGGCTTACGCAAGTGTCATAAACAGCTTGCATTTCAGAGCTACATATGGTCATATCCACGCATGTAAAGATATCTGTACATGTTCACATGCATCTACACAATTATCACAGCCGCTGAGGAATGTTGGGCCCCCGAAAATTGGTGACCCATCGTGGACCCCCAGGCCCCCCGTCGTGGCCCCCCATCTTATCGTGGGCCTCCGTCGTGACTTGCGCCCCGCCCCGCCTGCTTGTCCTTCCTCACCTTCCTCCTCTTCCCTCTTCTTCTTTTGCAGTGGGCATGCTGCCCATGTTTTTAAAAGAAGTGAAGCTGTTCAGGTCTTGCTGCCGCAGGGCTCCCACACGGTCGCTGGTGTTGCATCTTTGCTGTTCTAGACGGGGAAGGCCCGAGGAGCACGATCAGGGGCAACGGAGGGCGAGCAGGGGATCAGGACAGTGCAAGAAAATTGTATCATCGCTAGAACTCACGACCAGAGCCTCGTACCTCATCTTTCTGCTGCATTTTCTGGCCGGATCGATCGAAAAGGGATGGTCCGGGGGCCCGAAACGACGCCAAATCGCCCGCTGCGAGAACATTGCGACGCGAGGATCTCAAGGCTCTGGCGGCCCCGTGTTCCTCCGCTACCCCCGCCTGAGCCTCTCCCCCTTCACGTCCGAACCCCCAGAACGCTCTCGGCGAAGCGCAGCTGTTGGGCAGCGCCCCGGGGACGTGGAAACCCGCCGAGAGCTGACGAAGGCGCCCGGAAACTCGAGGCCTCGAAAGCAGCCCCACTCGCGCACTTCCCAGAGGACGTGGGAACTCTCCGAGAACTGACGAGCTCGAGAACTCGACGCCTCGAAATCAGCCTCCCTCGCGCACTTCCCCAGAGGACGTGGAAACCCGCCGAGAGCTGACGAAGGCGCAAGAAAGCTCGAGGCCTCGAAAGCAGCCTCACGCGCGCGCGCTTCCCAGAGGACAGGCCAGCCCTTGCGCAGATTCCCTGCTAGCGCCCAGGGACTGCAAACCTCGAGCCCTCGAATAGGGGATTCCGACTACAGAATTGATTCACCTGCCAGAAATTGGTGTTCTCTTTGATGAACGAAAAGTTGATTGACCTCCCCAGAAACATTTACCTCCAACAAATTGATCTACCCCTGAAAAATTGGTTTACCGCCCATGCGAAAGCTACGTAGATTAGCCCGTGGATCCACGGAGGCATATGCTTCGCAGGTTCGGCGGGACATCAGTTCTGGGGCACCTCGATTCTGCAGCGGGTCCCCTCCTCGAAGCCCGAAACGACGCCCCTTCGAGCGCCCCTCGAGTTAGATCGCCTCAATTAAGACCTAGAGGGGTTCCAGAAACTCCCCCAGGATCCTGCGAACATCTCCCCTGGAACCTCCGGCAGTGGTGCGGGGGCCCCTTCAGATCTCCGGCAGCAGACCCCCCTGGCGAAGTCTCCAGAGGAATCTTCCTGACAAAATTCCCCGAGGCTAGACATCCTTGCCAAATCCCCAGCGAGGAATCCTGCGAGGGCCTCGAGCGCGCGCGCGCGCAGGCCTCGCGTGTGGTGTGGCTCGGCGGGTGCGCCCTGGGGCTCGGCGTCCTGGCCTGCGGCGCGCCCACGGCGGCCCACGCCGCCGTGGGCTCCGCGGTGGCCGCGGCGGGCTCCGGGCTGTGCGCGTGCGTGCGGGCCAGGAGGAGGAGCCCTCGGAGGTCTCCAAACGAACCCTCTTCCTCCTCCGCCTCCTTCTCCTCCTCCTCCTCCGCCTTCTGTTCCTCCTCCTCCTCCTCCTCTGCTCCCCCGTCTCCTCCCCCTCCTCCTCCTCCTCCTCCTCCTCCTCCTCCTCCGCCTCCTCCTCCGCCTCCTCCTCCTTCCTCCTCCTCCTCCTGCTCCTCCTCTTCCTCCTCCTCCTCCGCCTCCTCCTCCTCCTCCTCCTCTTCCTCCTCAGGAGGAGTCGGAGGTACATTGAGTCTCGGGAGCCCCCAAGCGGGGTGGTGGCCACACCGTGTGGTGAGTCGGTGGGGATTCGGGGTCGCCGCACGGTTTTGGGACTCGCGTCCCTCTCCCGGGATGTCTCCAGCGACAGGGGTCTCCATGGGACCCTGCAGGGTCCCAAGGCCGTGCGGTGACGGGCCGTGCAGTGAGGTCTCTTGGGGTTCCGAGGTCGCCGCACGGTCTCTCGCCACACGGTTTCGAGACCCGCTAGAGGAGCCTGTCGGGCGGGAGAAACGGAGCGGCACGAACGACGGGGGCACGGAGAGAATTCACAGGAGGAAAAGGGTACCCATATACCGTTACCCTTCACCAGTCTTCGCCTCTTTCGGCCTTCTGGGTGGCCCTCGTCGCCACCGCAAGATTCGCTTCTAAATGTCCGTCAGATAGCACCCCGGGAGAGGTACGTGAAGTAGCGGTATCGGTACCTTCTGGTCTCCCCAGTCGGGCGGGGGAAACGGAGAGGCACGAACGACATGGGTACGGAAAGCATGGGTACGTTCCAGTTCGCTTTGAACAGGACTCGGTGTCGGTGTCGCCGCGGACGTTGCCCATTTTATACGGAAGGCCGCCTGGCCAACAGCGTCAGCCCTCAGTTCTGAACCACATTGCATTTGCTTTGTGGCTTCGTACCCATGTTTTCCCTCCCCAACTCGGGCGTCCACACAGGAGTACCGATGACATGTGGCCGTTGGTCATGGGAGAGCGAGTGGAGACAGTGGCAGTTGGCCTTCGGGGGGCCCCTCGTCGTCGCGGCTGGACGCAGTTCGGAACTTTGGAGTTGGAACCCGAGAGGGGCCCGGGGACCGATGTCGAGCCGCCAGGGCGGGGGGGGGGCCCTCTGAGATCATGGCGCCTCATGTTTGTCCGACCCAGGCGCGGTTTCGCCGAATGTCGGGCCCCTGGGCCCTCGCAGATCGACCCGGCTCGAGACATGCCGCAGAACGATTGGACCTTCCTGGCTCTGGTCGTGATGTTCCTGCATGCTGCATTTTTCTCGCCGAACTTCAGGCCCGTAGGCCCTCGCAGATCGATCCGGCTCGAGACATGCCGCAGGCAGGTTGGACCTTCCTGGCTCTGGCCGTGATTTTCCCGCGTGCTGCAATTTTTTCGCCTCGTCGGATATGAGGGGCAGAGTAACGTTGAGTCGGGCCTGTCCCTCTACGGGAGGAAACTTCCAAAATAGTCCAGACATGCTCTGGGGACTATTTTTGGTGTATGTTTTGACCATTCTGGATTCTTTTCACGGTATTTGTTTCGTCCAAAATCCGCCTGTAGGGGAGCACGCCCGACGAGAGAGTGACGGTGAAACACGCCGCCGGCGGGGGCCGGTCCGCGCGTGGCTCGTGCGCCGTGGTCCTGCGGCCCGGCGTTGGGCCGGGCACGTCCCCTCCTCCTCCTCCGCCTCCTCCTCCTCCTCCTCCTCCTCCTCCTCCTCCTCCTCCTCCTCCTCCTCCTCCTTTGACGCCTCCCATGCATAATTTTCACGTGCAGATTTGTTTTTGGGGCTGGTTTTGGGGGCGAGAAATCGCTTGGCATCGCTCGGACGTGTGCATTTTTTCTACGGCGAGGACCAGCGAGGAGCATCCTTGATCATTTCGGGGGAAAAAAAAAACACGCACGAAACCGAAAAAAAAACACAGGAAATGGACGTCCGAGCGATGGCCAGATCGTGGGGTGGGGGGGTCCCAAGAACGGAGGTTCCGTGGGGTGGGGGTGCCCGGGCGAGGATGGGGGCGTGTGTCGGTTTTGGGGGGGGAATCGTGAGTGGGGGGTCCCAAGAGCAGAAGTTCCGTGGGGTGGTGGCGCCGGGGCGAGGAGGAGGGCGTGGGTCCGTTTTGGGCGAAAAATAAAAAATCATCAAAACATGTGCAAAAGTGGTCCGATATAATCGAGGAGTCGTCCCCGGATTCTTTTTTGGGGACTCTTCTCGAATGCCCCCTCCTACAGGCGGATCTGGGGCGAGACATCCAGAATCATCAAAACGTGCTCAGAGCTGCTTAGAAGTAGATTATTTGGGGGACTCTTCTCGAATGCCCCCTCCTACAGGCGGATCTGGGGCGAGACATCCAGAATCATCAAAACGTGCTCAGAGCTGCTCAGAAGTAGATTCTTTTTGGGACTCTTCTCGAATGCCCCCTCCTGCAGGCGGATCTGGGGCGAGACATCCAGAATCATCAAAACGTGCTCAGAGCTGCTCAGAAGTCGATTCTTTTTGGGACTCTTCTCGAATGCCCCCCCCTCCTACAGGCGGATCTGGGGCGAGACATCCAGAATCATCAAAACGTGCTCAGAGCTGCTCAGAAGTAGATTCTTGTTGGGACTCTTCTCGAATGCCCCCACCTACAGGCGGATCTGGGGCGAGACATCCAGAATCATCAAAACGTGCTCAGAGCTGCTCAGAAGTAGATTCTTTTGGGGACTCTTCTCGAATGCCCCCTCTCCTACAGGCGATCTGGGGCGAGACATCCAGAATCATCAAAACGTGCTCAGAGCTGCTTAGAAGTAGATTCTTTTGGGGACCCTTCTCGAATGTCCCCTCCTACAGGCGGATCTGGGGCGAGACATCCAGAATCATCAAAACGTGCTCAGAGCTGCTCAGAAGTAGATTCTTTGTGGGACTCTTCTCGAATGCCCCCTCCTACAGGCGGATCTGGGGCGAGACATCCAGAATCATCAAACCGTGCTCAGAGCTGCTCAGAAGTAGATTCTTTTGGGACTCTTCTCGAATGCCCCCTCCTACAGGCGGATCTGGGGCGAGACATCCAGAATCATCAAAACGTGCTCAGAGCTGCTCAGAAGTAGATTCTTGTTGGGACTCTTCTCGAATGCCCCCTCCTACAGGCGGATCTGGGGCGAGACATCCAGAATCATCAAAACGTGCTCCTAGAGGGCGAGACATGAATCATCAAACGAAGCTAGATTTCTTGTTGGGACTCTTCTCGAATGCCCCCTCCTACAGGCGGTCTGCGAGACATGTGCTCAAGCTGCTCAGAAGTCGACTTTTTGGGCGAATGACATCTGGGGCGAGACATCCAAAATCATCAAAACGTGCTCAGAGCTGCTCGAAGTTAGGCGATTCTGTTGGACTCTTCTCGAATGCCCCCTCCTACAGGCGGATCTGGGCGAGACATCCAGAATCATCAAAACGTGCTCAGAGCTGCTCAGAAGTAGATTCTTGTTGGGACTCTTCTCGAATGCCCCCTCCTACAGGCGGATCTGGGGCGAGACATCCAGAATCATCAAAACGTGCTCAGAGCTGCTCAGAAGTAGATTCTTTTGGGGACTCTTCTCGAATGCCCCCTCCTCCTACAGGCGGATCTGGGGCGAGACATCCAGAATCATCAAAACGTGCTCAGAGCTGCTCAGAAGTAGATTCTTTTGGGGACCCTTCTCGAATGCCCCCTCCTACAGGCGGATCTGGGGCGAGACATCCAGAATCATCAAAACGTGCTCAGAGCTGCTCAGAAGTAGATTCTTTTGGGGGACTCTTCTCGAATGCCCCCTCCTCCTACAGGCGGATCTGGGGCGAGACATCCAGAATCATCAAAACGTGCTCAGAGCTGCTCAGAAGTAGATTCTTTGGGGACCCTTCTCGAATGCCCCTCCTACAGGCGGATCTGGGGCGAGACATCCAGAATCATCAAAACGTGCTCAGAGCTGCTCAGAAGTAGATTCTTGTTGGGACTCTTCTCGAATGCCCCCTCCTACAGGCGGATCTGGGGCGAGACATCCAGAATCATCAAACCGTGCTCAGAGCTGCTCAGAAGTAGAATCTTATTTGGACTCTTCTCGAATGCCCCCTCCTACAGGCGGATCTCGGGCGAGACATCCAGAATCATCAAAACGTGCTCAGAGCTGCTCAGAAGTAGATTCTTTTGGGGACCCTTCTCGAATGTCCCCTCCTACAGGCGGATCTGGGGCGAGACATCCAGAATCATCAAAACGTGCTCAGAGCTGCTCAGAAGTAGATTCTTTTGGGACCCTTCTCGAATGCCCCCTCCTACAGGCGGATCTGGGGCGAGACATCCAGAATCATCAAACCGTGCTCAGAGCTGCTCAGAAGTAGAATCTTATTTGGACTCTTCTCGAATGCCCCCTCCTACAGGCGGATCTCGGGCGAGACATCCAGAATCATCAAAACGTGCTCAGAGCTGCTCAGAAGTAGATTCTTTTGGGGACCCTTCTCGAATGTCCCCTCCTACAGGCGGATCTGGGGCGAGACATCCAGAATCATCAAAACGTGCTCAGAGCTGCTCAGAAGTAGATTCTTTGTGGGACTCTTCTCGAATGCCCCCTCCTACAGGCGGATCTGGGGCGAGACATCCAGAATCATCAAACCGTGCTCAGAGCTGCTCAGAAGTAGAATCTTATTTGGACTCTTCTCGAATGCCCCCTCCTACAGGCGGATCTGGGGCGAGACATCCAGAATCATCAAAACGTGCTCAGAGCTGCTCAGAAGTAGAGTCGGGGCCCTGAAGAAGGAGCCCTTTTCCTTGGGGTGGGGCTCCGCGTTCCTTACGTGTTTCACAGCTTGCCGCAGGCTTTCCTGATGTCTCCGACCGGAAATCGAAGGTCAACTTGAGGAAAAAAGGGGCCTCGCTCCTTATTTTGGGCTCCTCAGGTCAAGGCCCCGACTGTCGTCGAAAAGCCGTCCCCGGATTCTTTTTGGGACTGTTCTCGAGGGTGCCTCCCGTGGGGGCGCGTG